GCTGGAAGCCCAACTGAGCAGCAACAAGGAACTGGAAGCCAAGCTGAACGAGCTGCAAAAGAGTGAGCAGAGCTTGCAGGGCACTGCCATTGAAGCCGCTGAAGAACTGCGTCAGCGACAACAGGCCAATGGGGAACTAGAGGAGGCACTGAAGCAGAGTCAGGCCAAGCTGGCCGAGACGCAACAACAGCTGGAGAGTAGCCAAAGTCAGTTCAAGGCACTCCAAGAGCAACTGCAGCAACTTCAGCAGAGCGAGAAACAGCTGCAGGCGGAAGTTGCCAAGTCGAACGAGCAACTGCAGCAAATGCAGGAGATCAGCGCAGAGCAGCAGCAGGTGCTGCTGCAGAAGGAACAGCTGCTGCAGAAAGGCAACGAATTGGACGCCCAACTGTCTGAATACCAGAAGGTAATTGATGAAATGGATGAGGCCTCGAAGGAAAAGTCTGCGAAGGTGCAGCATCTGGAGAATCGCATCAAGGAGCTGGAACTGGCCCTGCATCAAGCTAAGGAATCACAGCAGTTAACGCACCTGGAGTGCCAGCAGCTGACGCGGAAGTTGCACTCTCTGGAGCTTGAGGAGGCACGCGAAATCATGGCATTGCGTGCCCAAGCGAATGGAGCCACCAGCAACCCAACTAAATCAAGCGACGATGCTGAGGTAAGTCTTCGGGTATCCCCTGATCTTGCCGATTCACTCTTTCACTTCCTTCTCAATAACCCCCGCAGCTGGATACAGAAACCAGCCTGGCCAAGATCAACTTCCTGAACTCAATCATAGCTGATATGCAGCAGAAGAACGATGCGTTAAAGGCCAAGGTGCAGACGCTGGAGACTCTGCCTATAGACTTTACCAAGTGAGACTTTTTATATAGATAGATTCTATATGTGTTTTATGATGATTCTCCCTCTGTAGACCCCACGCCTTCGAGATGTTGAGCAAACGAAAGCCCGCTCCACGTTTGTTCTGTGATATCTGTGATGAGTTTGATAAGCATGAAACGGAGGACTGTCCGCTCCAAGCTGGCGATGAGCGCGACTACTCACCGCCTCCTGCCGAGGCCAACCACGAGAAGAAGGAGCGAAAGCTGCCAGCTCCACGCAAATACTGCGACTCCTGTGAAGGTAAGCGATCGATCCCCATCTCTACATAGATATATATTTAAATGCATTCCATTTACTTTCAGTTTTCGGACATGATACGAGCGAGTGCGCCGACGATGAGACCTATTAGAACACTAAGCTAAACTAAGTTAATTTTGTTGGTTGTTGAAACACGCAAACGTATTTTTATAATCTTATAATCCGTGAGCCTTAAAGCTGATCAACCTATTTACAACATTTTATACCTCTTCGGAAGCTGTTTTCATGTTTTGCACGACTAATTCTATATTAAAATCTGATTGTGTTTACTTGTTTTGTGTATAGGAAATATGATATTTTGAATCTGTTTTTAATTCTTATTTAATTTATTTATACAAATAGTGAACATTTACTTCTATTGTTTCGCAAATGTTTTGTAATAATAAATGAGTAAACTAAAACTAGTCGCCGCCTTCTTTCTTCTCCTTGATGGCATCCTGCAAGCAACAAGCAATAGAGAAATAAATTAATTAAAGTCGCAGTAAGTCTGAGCAAATTTCGGTTAAACAAATGGAAATAATATTCATTTAACAATTAGATCACTTTTATTTCGAAACCCGATACGTGTTCAGTCGAACCTCGCATACTCACTTTAAATCGCTCCTCGAAAAGCGACAATTCTGCAAGCAGGTCCGTTATGGCATTCATGAATGCCTCTTGTGGTGAATAATCCGCCGTCGTCTGTATCCGGATGACGAACTTGTGCTCCAGCGGATGGGGCACCTTATAGCCGGCAAAGAGCACGTTTGGATCCTTCAATAGTTGGCTGTTGAGCACAATTAATAACAACTGTACATAATTATTAGTGGCTGGGCATACTTGCGAATCATGTTGCCCAGCGTGTGATCCTCCTTGTTTATGGTGAAAATTGCGGCATTTGTCACCTTCGTGTCCAGTTCCTTGATAATTCTGCAAAGATATCGTCAAATGTGATTCGCAATGTTTTTAAACAAGCTACTTACTTTTTCTCGCCTTCGTAGAGCAGAAACGATTCAAATGTGGGTGGGGCATTCATTTTGTATTTTATTTATAAGCAAATGCAATTCAAATAAAAAATTTTGTTTAGAAAACAAAATCAGTCGTACACAAGAAAATGTAATGCGCGAGACACTGCCACACTTAGCAGCACTGCAACTATCGATAAGTCATCGTATTGCTGGCGATAGTTCTGTTTAGCGATGATAGTGTTGCGAAAATTCATTTCATTGGAAAGCATTACTAGTTCATAGATATCAAAATATGCGCTGAGAAACATTATTTTATATATGATAATAGATTTTAAATAATGTGGACAAAATTAAATTTTGTAAAGTGCCCCTTATACGCATACAATATAACTACCACTACCACTGCATGCGAACAAAATCCGATAAAACCACTCAAATGAACCACAGCTGATAAAATTCCTGTGTAGTTTCGAATGGTTCAACACTACTTCGAAGTTTTTTTTTTTGCGCCAAACAAGAGCGTTGTCCATTAAGAAGTTTAATAAAATTAACTGCATATTGCCTGTGTCAAAATGAGCGTAACAAACAGCGCTTCCGTTAACGCTGCTGACGTGGATGAAGCGAATCCACTGGAACAATCGACCATAACAATGCTCGATGTACTCGAAGAAGAGAAAGAATTGGAAGAGGAATACGCCGCGGTGCTTGGCGGCTCCGATGAAAAGGAGTGCACCTATGCCAAAGGCGCCATACAGCGCCAGGCACTCTACTCTTGTCTCACCTGTTGCCCGGAGGCACGCGAGGACCCAAAGAAGAGCGCTGGTGTATGCCTGGCCTGCTCCTATAGATGCCATGAGAACCATGAGCTGATCGAACTCTATACCCGACGTAACTTCCGCTGCGACTGTCCAACACTGGAGAAGCGCTGTGCTCTGAATCCTCAGCTGGAGGCAGTGCAGCCGAAAAATGCAAACAATCTGTATAATCATAATTTCCAGGGCGTGTACTGCAAGTGCAAACGACCCTATCCCGACCCAGAGCGCACGACCGAGGAGACAATGCTGCAGTGCGTCATCTGCGAGGACTGGTTCCATCTGCAGCACATGGAGGCGCCAGCAGGCTCGGAAAAACTGTCAAACGCCTGCAGTGAAATGATTTGCGACTGCTGCATGGAGCGTCACGAGTTTCTACGGGACTACAGCGGCCTGGCCTTGCAGCCAGCAGCTGGGGCCAAGGAGTCCGCAACAGAGGAGGTCAACGTGGTGGACAGCCACCCGACCAAGAACGAGCAACAGTCTGAGCAGCAGTCGGAGCAACCTGCCGAGAAACGCCTCAAGCTAAGCGACGACTCATGCCGCCGTCCTAAGTCCTCAATCGAACACAAAGGTAAGTCGCCAAGCAAGAGTTTCAAGACCATCTCTGCCAGCAACTGAACAATATATTAACACATTTCAATACATAAAGAGCAAATCAAAGTTTTTGCGCCCATCGCCCAGGTAGACAAAGCCGTGCTTGCGTGAGTTCAGCTTGTGGAAGAAGGTCATGCCCAGCCAGACGCAGGACTTGATGATCGCGATGCGCTCGTTGCGCTGCATGTTCAAGGTGAAGGCCTGGCTCAGCGGAATCACGCCGTCGATGGTGTCCAGAAAGTCGATGGCATAGTTGTAGTCGCTGCGCTTCGACAAGTTCGTCTTGAGGTCGTTACGCGGCAGTCGATACAGCTGGTAGTAGGAGAGATTTTCGATTTGCAAGTCGTTTAGACCGCGAAACATCTGATTGGGTATGACGCGACCATCGACCATCTTATAGAGGGCACCGCGCGGGCAAATGGCGCTCTCCTCGCTGATGATGAATACTATGGCAGCCAGACGCTCTTCCTCCTTCAGCTTGATTACCTCCGGGTTGCTGATGCTAATCACTTGATTGGCCACTATATTAAATGTGGGATCCTAAATTGATTGACATTAAGGATGAGCTGAGCTACTGTATCTCTGTATCTCTATCAACATACCAGCTTAACGTAGGTCTGCAAACTCGGATCCCCAATAAAGGGATCGGGTGCGAGTACCGTAGCCTGAAAGATCTTCGGGCTCTGCACAAAGGGCAACAGTTGCCATTGGTACTGATCGACGCTGTAGAAGTACTTGCGATCCTTCAGACAGTCAGTTGTGTAGCCGAAGGCAATGTAGTAGTCATTCTTAATGGCCGTAATGCGTCCCCAGAAGTACATGCCCGAGAAGCGATTCTCCTGCAGCAGCACGATGAGCGAGTTCTCAATGAGGATGCGCTGCTCCGGCGATAGTTTCCGCCCGCAGTACATCAGGCACTCCAGCCCCTCCGAAAAGTACTCCACATTCATGTTAAGCGACTCAATTTATAACTTAAAAAATAATAGTTGTATTTAGAAATGGTTTATGGAATGTTCTGGCCCCGTTTGCTGAGCCGAGCTCTAAACTCATACTAACTTAATATCGTTTGCTTGAACAGGCGCCGCCTTCTGGGCCAACGACTGGCGCAAGGCGCTTTGCCGTTGCGGCAAGTGCTTGGAGCTGTACAAGGAGCAGTGTGTGGAGTTTCTACTGGATGCCGAGGACTCCGTGGAGGCCTACGAGAAGCGCGGCATGAAGCGTATTGAGGAGAACTCCAGCTACGAGCAGGGCATCCGTGCGCTGGCCTCCATCGATCGCACAAAGCAAATCGATGTGATCACCGAGTACAATCGCATGGGCGACAAGCTGAAGGAGTTCCTTCAGTCCTTTGCAGCCAACAAGAAAGTGGTCACCGAGGACGACATCAAGCGCTTCTTTGCCGGCATGCGAAGCGAGAAGACCACCGCCGTCAGTCAGCCCTATTTCTGTCGCTAAGCAAATTACCCATAAAGTATTCTATTTATATATACATACATTCCCCAAATGAGTGTACACATGTGGAATTTATTGTACTATCTTAAATTTATGGTCTTTCATTTGTATCATTATTACTATTAGCATGTTAAAACAACAATTCGAATATAAAATGAGATTCGCATAAAAACAACAACTATCTATAGAATTAGCCAAATATCTATATACAACTCGCGACATATACATATACACACACATATATATATATATATATATGTATATCTGTATAGTTACATACATCTAGACGTTATATGTATTGTCGTTTGGAGTCTGTTTGCTGGCCTGACTGGCCATCTCCAGATTGCAGAGCGTCGCCTGCAGATCCATCATGATGTCGTTTGGATCCATTTGCTCTATCGCCGTGTAGTCCATTAGCGTGCTGCTCATGATTAAATCGCTTAGGGAGGGATTCTCGTCCGGTTGCTGCTGGGGCTGTGCAGGAGTAGGAGGAGGCGGTTGCACCAGCAGCTGAGGAGCCTTGACTGCCTGTGGCGCAGTCATGAAATTGGTTTGATATGCTGCTGGACTTATGGCACTATAGACATTATTGTTGTTGTTATTGCTGTTGCTGTTGCTGTTGCTGTTGTAGCCATTGTTCAGATTGGTGGGCGTTATGCTGCCGCCGTTGAACAGCGTTGTCGTGTTCCAGTTGCTGGCGTTGTTGTTCACACTGATTGTGACATTCAAGTTGTCCTGCTGCTGGTTGAGCAGCTGCAGCAACTGATCCTGGTGCTGCTGTTGCTGCTGCTGCTGGCCAGGAGCATAGCTGTCCGCTGTGCTGCACCTGGAGCTGGGCGAGGCGGGAAAGTAGCTGTAGTTGTTGTACGAACTGGCCGCCGAGGGGCAGCTGCGCGTGCTGTCCATCTCGTAGAGCAGCTGCTCGGCCTTGATCTCCGGCACGAAGGAGCCGTTGGGACTGGTACTGTTGCCATTGTAGCTGCCGGTGGGCGTCATCAGGGGCGCGGGCGCCGCTGCCACGCCCAATAGCTGATTGGCTGCTGCAAAGTATTGGAAAAAGTTCATTAGCAGACTGTCAATAACGAGGCAAAAACTTTTCGCTACAACTGAGTTAATGAGCGCTATAGAAACTAAGCATTTAAATGTGGCCAGCCAAGACAACAATAACAATAACAACAACAATAACAATCAAAATAATTAACAAAGAAAATAACTAAATAGAGCTGTGCCAGAACTTAAAAAGGTCACGTAATAATCACAACAACAACAAGAACAATTTTGGTTGAACTTACACGACCAAAGATCTGAATCACATAGTTCTCATGGGGCTTTTGACTAGCTAAACCTATGTAAAGCTGAACGGGAGGATGAGATAATAAAAAATCTTCGGGTAGCCGAAGTGTTTGAGGCGATTCTAAATGACTTGTGGAGAGTTCTACTAATCAAATATATTTAAATATATAGATGTCGAGGTACATGGAAACGTATTCCTTAAGAGACCGCCTTACATTACGGATCATATATATCATTAACATAATTTTAAAAGTTGAATTTTTCCTTCTCAATTTAGAATGGCCTTCAACAATAACTACTCGAACGGATCTGTGAGTTTTTAGCAAAAACTTTTATTCAATAAATTCAATTACACACAGCTATGAATGTAGCTCGAATATGGATTCATAAATGTATATTTTATGCATTTTGCCAACAACAAATAAGCAGAACACCTGCTCAGGTATATCTGGTTACTACAAATTTCGAAAACGCTTTTGGTCCACAAGGGGTTATCGGGGCCTGCTTTAAAGGAGGCGACTAGCATATGAATATATGTAAATATGTATTCAAATGTGAAAGGTCAACAAGGTGTGTGTGTGTATATGTGTGAAACTTTTCTGCTCCTGCAATGCTATGCCTTTTTCTTAGTGGGTGTGTATGTGTGTGTGTGTAATGAGGAACTCCTCTGCAAACGCTGAAATGTATGCTATGTTTTGTACTCTTGTAGAGCCCTGTGTATGCTTTGGATGTGTGTGAAACCCAACACCGCATTTGATCAACTGCCGACTTACTTAACATTTTGGACTGTTTCTGATTCTGAGTCTGGTGCATCATGCCGGATAGCTTACGCTTAACGCGTTCTGTGGCTTTTCGCGCGTCGAGGCGGCATTTGTTGGCCAAAGCATCTACAAAGACAATTGGGGAGGGTCAATATTAACTGTGCTTTGAGTACTCTATGTGTGTGTCTGTGTGTGTGTGACTAGAGGTACACGCATATAATACTGAAAGAAGAGACGACTAGAAAAAAATTTTAGATTAAACTGCAAAGAGCATTCACTGTAGCCCATTGGCCTCGGCTAGACGGCGCGCAATCTCATCGGCGTTTAGGAAATCCGAAGCGTCCGCCTCGCCGCCGCCGCCATCCTCCCGCTCCGGCTCTGGCGACTTGCTGGTATACAAGGCAAAGTGCTCTGCTCCGGAGAGGTCGACGCTGGGATCGAGCACCACGCCGTAGGCGCCCTCGCACAAATTCTTGATGCTCTGGCGATCGGCGATGGCCACCAGCTCCATGTTGCCGTCGCTAATGGGTATATCGGCCAGCTGCAGCGTGCTCAGCGTCTTGCGGTCGAGCGGACGCCCATAGGTCAGGGTGCTGGCATTCGAGTAGCTCTCCGGGCGCAACAGGCTGTTCTCGCTGTCGCCGCCCTTCAGAGGTATGTGGATGACGTCGGCGTCCAGGTGGGCGGGCCGCTTGCCCGAAACGCTGCTCGAGCTGCGACCCACTGGGCGGCCGCTGCGCTGCGACGCGCTGCTCTGTGGACTCGAGCCAGGTGGCTGCAGGGAGCGAACCGAGCTGCGGTTCGGGGCGCCCAGGCTGAACTGGTTGCCAGTGGGCGTGGTAGCTCGCGATCCCTGCTCCTGCTCGTCCTCGCTCTTGCTGCTGCGACGGCGCGAGAACAGGCGCGAGAAGAAGCCCTGGCGCTTCTTAGGGGAGGCCGTGGCGGAGCTGCTGGTCGCTGCAGCGGGCAGTCGCTTGGTCGGACTCTGGTCGGGCGTGTGCATTATAATGATAGGGGAAGGGGTGGTGCGCGTGGAGCTCACGCTGCCGTTGCGCGAGCGAGTGAGGGAGTGGCTGACGGAGTTCGAGGCGCTCTGCTCGCTCACACTCAGGTCCTGCGAGTTGCGCTTGGGCGGCTTGGGCGGCAGAGGGGGCAGCCGCTTCTCGGGGTCTGGCGAGGGCGTGCGCGGCGGCAGGGGCAACGGCGGCGAGGGGGGCGTGGCTGGCGTTTGGGCTGCATTCACTTGGATCTTGGGCGCCGGCGGATTGGTCAGCACCACCAGCTCGGCCTCGTCCAGCTGACTGAAGGGATTGGAGACATGATAGAGCTGCTCCTTGACCTGGTTGTGTGGCATCTCCACTGGATGCTTATAGGCGATCTGCAGACTCGTGTAGGTCGCAGTCTCGTCGAAGTTCTCGTCAATGTCCACGGAGGCCTGTGCGCTGGCGCTGACTGCCTCCGCTTCGACTTCGCCCACGGGCAGCTCCTTCAGGGCGGCATTCTCTAGAGTATCGCGCCTCGAGGTGCTGCCCTCGCCCCCGTGGGGCTTGTCCTCGTCGTCGAGCTGGTTCGTTATGGTCGTGTTGGCAGTCAGGCTGCTCACGTTTGTGAATGCCGTCTGGGCGGTGCTGTGCGAGAGAGTGGGCGTGTCGCCATTCTCCACCGTCAGGCTGTCAGTTCTCTCGAACTCGCTGCTGCGCATCCACTCATTAATCTTGTCCACGGTGCTCAGTGGGCGCGCCGGCAGCTGCGGCTGCTGCAGGATCTCCTCCATGGGCGTGGAGGTCTGCGTGCAGTCGTCGGCGAGCTGCGGCAGCAACTGCGGCACCTCCAGCTCGATTTCCATGTCCGGCTCCTGGTCATTGTCATTCTCGATGCCGTCGGTGTACTCCGTTTGCGTGGCGTCCGCCTCGTTGGCCTCCGACTCGCCGCGCTGCCGCAGCTGCAGCTTCTTCACCGCGATCTCGAAATCATTCAGAGTGCCCGAGCTCTGCTGCTCGTCCGATGAAACCGTGTTCTCGTCGTCGTTAAGGTCGAGAGGCGGGCACGAATACTTCGTGGCCGTCGTCTCGCTATCTAAGGAAAGTATCTGCTGGAAGACGTCCAGCTCCTGCTTGCGCTTCAGCTTGCGCTGCAGGCGCCCGAAAGTTAGCATACCTGGATTCGGATAGTACTCGAAGGGCAGCGCAGCGCTCGTCGCTCGGTCCGAGGGTCGCTCCAGCTGTAGTTCCACCTGACAAGCAAATCAGTCAATCGCTTGGTTAGCCTCTGCCCCAGTGGGACTCAGCGCAGTCCACTCACCTGCACGCTGTGCTGAATCTCCGTGTTGCGATACCGCGGCGTCCGGAACACTATGGCCGTCTGCTTGTAAATGTCTGTGGGCTGGAAGTCCGCGTAGGCCTCCCAGACCTCAACGCCCGCCTCATTCGTCTCGAAGAAACGTATCCGGATGTCATCCTTGGAGATCTTCTCGCACAACAAGATGATCTGGTCCCCCCCGCTCAGCTTCGAGGAGCAGCTGCACAGCCGATTGATGGTCAGCTCGTTGCTCTTGCCGTAGATCGGCGACGAGACAACCGGGTCGAGGGGAACGTTGTTGTTGCCCACCTTGATGAACGCCTGGTAGCACAGGCGTAGCTCGTACAGATTTATGCTGCTGATGTTGTCTTTGTGATCGAATTTGGCTGCAGCGAGTGTGTGTTTGAGAGAGAGAGAGAGATTGATCAAGTCCGATGGATCATCGTGGATTCTCCGATCTACCACTTACCATGAAACGGATCAATATTCTTTTGCTCGCGCAGCATTAGGGATTCACGCACATCCGTCTTCTTCACGCATTGGATGCCCACTTTCTGGAGCTCGAGGCGCCGCTCCTCGGGCGGCAGCTTCTTGCTGTAGACGCCCGACTTGCAGTTGTCCGCCTCCTCCTTGCTGACCAGCCAGTGGGGATGCTGGCGATAGGGCTTGTCACGCGTCACGCACGAGACGACCACCACAACGGGTCCGCTGTAGTCAACAATCTCGATGGTGGGAAAGGTCTTTGCCTCCGGCGTGGAGTTCATGCCGGCAATCGAGCCCGCCGTCCGTCCCTCACACTTGTAGCGAAAGCGTATAATTTTGTTCGTGGGCTCCTCGATAATTCGTATGTACGGTCGGCGCTGAGCAGCCGGCGCTGCCGGCACGGACAGCGGTATGTGGGACGGCATGACGGGCAGCGAGGCGGACTGTGGAAAAGTCTGCGGCATGGTCGATCCGCTTGTCTCGCTGGCATTAAGGATTTCCTCTATAACAGATAGAGAAAGAGAGAAAGACAGAGAGAGAGAGAGAGAGAGATAGAGTATAAATTAAGACTGAATTTAATAGGAAGTATCAGTAGAGGTATAATATGTACATGTTCATTGAAATAGTAGTACTGAACACATATACATACATACATACATCTATACTCATTCTTGTATACATTTGCTGGCATAGCCAGAACAAAGTATCTATATAAGGTATATATGTATCTGTAGGATACATGTGTGTCTACGAGCTGAGCATGTCAGCTCCATATATATTTATGAATTATGTAGATGTGCGGGGCATTAAATTGCGGCATGCCATCTATCACATCTATAGCCATTGTTATGCTCCTCCTCAAAGAGGAGGCAACAACAACATTTGCTGTTAGCCGCTTTGACCGCCGTTTAGGCCAGATGTTAACGACTGACGTCAAAGACGCATTTTCCAAACATATTTTGAGCTTTTTCATTCATTTTCATTTTCTTTTTGTTGTTTACAACAACAACAATAACAAGAGCAACTAGTACCACTAGAATTGGCTTTTAGCTGAGATTTAATGCGGCCACTAAAAATTCCAGACGCAATTGCGAGTCTAATGAAGCCCTCTGTCGATTGAGTTATTGTGGCTAGATTATTCATTAGCAAGCCACACACCAAAACCCGGCAACCCGCCCACTTATGCTGAAGCCACATGCTTGCCCTGTGGCTATTAATTACCCGTATTAATGGCAGCCCTTGGCCATGCTCACATACAGTTAACAAAGTTACTTACGCAAATCGCCAAAGATTTCGTCCTCTGCCATTTGATGCTGCCTGCAATTGGAATAATGATGGATTAGCCGGGAGCTTCTGGATCGTGTATCTAAATGATGTGTAAATAATATATATATTTATCCAATATGTGATAATGGCTTATCTATTTAGGCGCGGATATATACTCTTATCAGTAACTTCGTTGGGATTGGGATGGTTTGATTGATTGATTGATTCACAACATTTGCTGCTGGCTAAAATATATTCATAATATCCATTTGCTGCTTACAATAATTATAATAAATATATATACTTCTAATAGATACTGTAAATATATTTTAGGCATCAGCAAAGAACTTTCGTATGATTGATTGCTATCCAATTTTGTATTATTACGAATCAATAAAAAGTTGTTGATTCGAATGTAAATATATAGACAAAATAGGTGCACGTATCTAAGTATGTGTTTAATATATATCTATGTGTGTATAAATGAATACGATTTATACTCTTCTCTATATACATATGTCTATATTCCCTTCGAACGCAATGCATATAAAGCTCATCAGTCGTTGCATGACTGGCCTTCTATGCGATTCTCATGAATTTCTTGCTTCGATTCGCACGGTTAATAGTGCCCAGTGGAGCAGTGAAACAGGAATTGACAGGATAGGGTAATTATTGTATTACATATGTATGTGTGCATATGTATGCATGCATGCATTCACGCATGTGTGTATGTGTGTTGGCCATGAAAAGATGAGTTCAAAAAGGCTCTCAAGCTTCTTTGCCCCGATTAGCAGTGCTCATGGTGTTGCCAGGAGCAATGGCTGTGGGCGTCGTAAAAAAGGATAATAAGGATAATATCCTAGAGAACGCAGACAAATAACGAGAGGGCATAAGCCTGTCCGTGTGTGGGACTAAATATGTATATACATTTTCATATTCATCTATGAATACATGGATACCTCTGCTGTAAACTTTTCACATGTATAATAATATTTGTTTTTCCCATCAGTGTGCAAATGAAGTTTATTTGATAGATTTGTAAACACGCCGCTGCAGTCTATATGCAGTTTGTATACAGAAGCTCGTAAATCAAATTCAGTAGTTTATATTAGCCGTAATCCTTGCAGCGCGTAATATATGCTAAGTGCATGCATGGCAGGCGCAGTTTCCGACTATTCTTCATATGTTTCCCGGTTTACAGCCATATTTATTGTCTAGTCTACAGAAAGACCGTAAACCGGTCGTTTTGTATGTAGTTATCAAGGTTATTATAATGATAAAACTGCATAATAATGGCTATTTAACAGCACTGGGCTGCCAAGCTGCCGTGCCAAAACAGGACGCCACGCGCGCCCCGCAGTACCCGCAGTACAATTGCACACTCTGTAGAGCACAATCGAGAGTCTGACAAGTTGAAGTGGTCGCTGAAGGGAGGGGAGGGAAATATTCTACAATTGTTAACAGCTGTCGATAGTCTTTTAACATTTCAATATTGCTTAATAGGCTCTCGTTTGACTAATAATTCTGATGAGTGAGTGGTCAGTGATAATATTACCATGGAATACTTATGGAATTTTAGATCATTTAAAAATTATAAATGATCCCCTATAATAAAAAACTTGAAAATACAAAACAATTTTTTAAGCAGAACTGAATTAAATATTTAATTATTATGTATACATATTTCATAACTGATATTAATCATTGTACTAATGCAAATTTTTTAGTATTTTCAAATTTGAATTTTATTCTAACAATATAGTACTATTTCTTGAAGCCGGATACTGAAATAATACAATATAGCTAGTATAATATATCACTTTGATTAAAATTTTCAGTTTCTGTCTCACAGTGTATACACACACAAACACTCCTCCAACGTATAGTTCTCACTCAGTCATATAAGTGCGAATACGTATAATATACGTACACATATATGTCCGCACGTGGGCAGGCGGTAAATTTGCATATGTTAATTCTGTTTACATTGAAAACATTGCAGCAACAATTGCTACACGAGATTTATTTTTTTTTTTTTCATCTTACTTGCAATTCAGACCACACAGACAATGGACAACAGACAACGGACAACGGCCATGGAGAGTGAGTGTTTACGGCGGAGTGTTTACGTACAGCACGTTTTACGGCTCTACATTTTCTTGCCTTTCTTTTTTGTTTTCGTCAGTCATCGGCCCCAAGCCAGCTGAGCTGTGTAATAAGCGAATGTGGGTCGACGTGGTCATCTGGAGGTTTTCAGCAAGTGACTCGACGGCCGTCCCTTTGTGCTAGCCACACTGGGCAGCACGGCAAAGGAACGGGACTTGGGTTCTTCCATGTGTATGACAATGTTACGCAAATATGTTTTTATATAATCAGCTTTCACGTAATAACGAGTGAGAGAGAGAGAGAGAAGGAGAGAGAGAGGAAGTGCGAGTGAGAGAGGGAGTTTCCAATTTCCTGCCAGAGCTACGCAGCTAAGGAAAAACAGGAAAGCCACAAAATTACGGTCTATTGTTAGATCGATACGAACGCAGCTAGATTATAATATTTTTGCCTTTGCATAGATGAAATTATATAACCTCCGGAGCCTAATTTGATGTCAACTTAAATGATAGCTTAGCATTTTAAATTTCAATTAAAAATGTTTTTTTTTTTTTTTTGGTTTTTGTTTGCGCTTCTACATTGAGCTGTTAGTCAGTGTAAATTTTTTATTTAATTAAACGCCCAACGGAGAGCGCTTTAAAATTGCGCAATTGTTGAAGCTCAGCCAGACAGACAGAGGACAAAGGGACAACGACGGCGACAACTCCTAGCCAAGAGCTCGCATCCTGCAAACGTTGACTGGGCTGCTAATACTTTAAGACAGCCCGCATGGCCTCTCTCTCCCCCTCCCTCGCCCACTCTCTCGGTGGGTGAGAGAGAAACAAATTTAATTCGCATTTAGGCAAAGCTTTTTTTCGGATTTCATACCCTGCATATACAAAGTGCCCCAAGTGTGTGTTTATGGCGGATTTCAATAAATGTATATTTAAGTGAGTGAAACGAATTTAATTTAATGAAACAATTTGATTCGCATTTAGCCAAGCCTTGTTGGTTATCATCAAAGTCCTGCTGAGCCCAAACAAGGTAATAAGCTAACAATACTTGAACACTCTAATATAATATATCTGCTTATAGTATTAGCCCAGGTAGAGCGCATAGATGAAGGTAAAGGTCATAGGAATCTAGAATATTTATTCTATTTTATTGTGAGAGTGGCTTGCTTGCCTTGTTTGGTAGGGTATTTGGTAGTCGAGCAACTAGACCTTCGCTCGGCTAGGTTGTTTTGCTTTCGGGCTTTGCTTATTGTTGCTGGGGGACCGGCGACATAAATCAGCGCCACAAATTGATGCGTAAATAAATGCAGAAGTGGAAGCGCTAACCGAAAAGGATGTGAAAACAACAGAAGAGAAAGAGAGTAAAACAAAAGCCGAATTATTAATTAAATATGATCAAAAATAGAATGAAATCCACGCCAGACGCATTCGACAAAATCCAAATGGAGTCTAAAGGGCGCCCGCCTGAGCCATTTACCGCTGAGTTTTGAATTACATTTGGTCTCTGGCTGGCTCCTCCAGTGGTGCCAGCCGGTGCCATATGTGATTCTATTTATTGTGGGCCACATATGAACTCTATATATACACACAAATATATATAAATGTATGTATGTGTGTGTGTGTGTGTGTGTGTGTGTACGCAGAGTTCAGTAGCTTGCGGCTGGAGCATGTCATGTGTTCAATCGATTGGAAAATCGCGTTCTGAAGCGAAAGTAAACACAGCTAAATAGAGAAAATGAAAGCAAATGGACAAATAGCGCCCGAACCTTTTGGGTTGAGAGCCTGTGCAATACTTCAGTGGACCCAGCGCCCAAAAAAGTGCCACAACTTCGCACGCACCACCAAGCCATGCCCAGCCAACTCTCGGCTCCTCCAGCAAATGAAGGCCTAATCACACCCAGTCAAACACACTCACACACACACACACCAACACACACACGCTGGGTGCGCTTTATAAGCTTCTACATCAAACACACAGAGACATGCCGAAGAGCGCGTTGACTAGCCGAGTCGGCTGGGATGTGGCATGAAGTGTGCCATGGAGCACATTCCCATTTGCACCTCAAGTGCTTAAGCGAAACTTTGCCATAAGCTGGCATGTGTGTGCGTGCAGACGTGCCAGCTTGTGTGTGCCTTCCATGCGTATGTGTGTCATTTATTCTATTTTATATATATATATATATATATATATTTCTATACTTATGAATATTTATATATGTATTTCGAATAAAATTCCAACACTCAAATCTGCGCGTGAAAAATTTCAAACAGCCTGTCACACAAATATTCTTTTGCTGGACTTTTTTAAGTGCTGTTCCGCTGCATGTGTGTGCATGTGTATGTGTGTGTGTGTGAAAATCAATAACTGTAGGATTTTACGATATTGTTTGTGAAACTATATCGCTGACGTAGCTAGCTGATAGTTCTATTCAAAGTGGCCTTCGGTATGTCAACGGCAAATCCATTAGGAGACAAAAATTGATTTTCAACTCATGGCAACTCTGCTAAAGGAAACATCTATTATTATCGATGTTAAGTTGTGGGCCATTAGAAAAAGCACACAAAAGCAGATAATACAAGCCGCAACAGCGATACCGATAAGAACCTTGAAGACTGCATAATACACGTTCGAGTCAGAAATGTCTGCAATTTGTATCTACTTTTCATCTGATTTGTCACGCCTCGCTTCGGTGAGCCTCATAATGGATAGAGTGAACATAATATTACCCGCTCTTATCGGTGGAAGGTTTATTTTGGTTTGCATAACAAATTTGTAGTCATTAAGCTGTGGGCGGACAAGGAGACAAATATACCCTTTGCACTGTGTGGACGAGTATTAGAGTGACTAAACCTCAACTAATTCTTTATCTTTTTACACTCTTATACTTCAGACAACTGAAAATTATTTTTATTTAAACTTCATTATGATTTTAATTAAAATTGCATTATCATTATCACTGAAATCGAATTAGCACATGTCGAATTATTGAGCAGATATAAGATATATAGACAACTTAGATTATGTTCTGGGAATATCCGCAAAGCAGCACAAGAACTCGCCTATCAGGGTGAGGAGGTATTTTTGGAATAGCGCGCGGCGCTTGAAAATGTTGCCAATCTATGAGTCAGCTGAATCAGTAATATTACGATTAACTGGAACAGGTGCTAAAAAAATTATCGCAAGCTCATCAAAGTTGTTGCGGAATTCTGTGTAATTTTTTGTTTAATGTGAAGCATGTTTAAACATTTTCCCCGCTTGCAAAACTAATTTAAAGTCAATTAATTCAATTATCAGCACGCACATGGAGAGCATTCTTGCAACAGGGCAATGTCAAATTTTTTTTGCGTTTTTCGCTTGTTTTTTGGGTCCCATATTAAAATGACAGCGGCAGGAAAATGTGCGCTAACGTCTCTAAATGTACATCAAATACAATTAAAAGTAAATCGATTTTCAAGGCAATCAAACGAAATTGTGCGCCCGTTGCGAGCGCCTTACAAGTTTTCAAAACCAGAGACCAAAAGCATTTTCAATATGCCAAAAAAAGAGAAAAAGAGGAAGACAAAGAGGAAGAGCAGAAGAGCAAAAGGCAAAAATTTCGTTACGCTAGAAAAATTTCATTCTAATAGCAAGAAAACGAAGCGAAATTCTCACGCGATTCCCACAAGCCGCAGCGTTTGATTATATTGCGATAAAAACTTTTCACAATTCAATCAATTCAGTTCCATTTCAGCTACCCCTGCCCTGCGGTTGCTGTATTTCGACGTACAGCACGGCGTATGCGTGATGCCCGACTACTGAATCGATCAGTTCGACTTTTGGCTAGTCATTTGAGACATTTGGGCATACATTAGCAAAAGTTTTTTACTTATCTAAAAGTTGAGAAAGAAGAATTGTTAGATTATATCTCGATTGATACAGAAAATATTCCTATTAGAGGAGAGCTGATGATCCTGATGACTCACAGTGTGTATGAAAGCCAAACAAAGTGCATGATTTGGATTTATTGAACTGAGTTTCTTCTCTTTCTCAAAACAACGAAATTCTATATAAAAATACATTCATTAAATCACTTTCAAATGTGGCAGAGCAATCGACAGTCGCACATATTCGCATTTCTTGCCCGATTCGCTTCTTCACTCAGTTTTTTTTAAAAGATTAATAAATTGTTTATTTATCTTGCAGCTAGTTTTCTTTTGTGCATAGCTTAATTACCTCAAGATAAACTTTTGTCTATTATTTTAGTAAAATTTTAAATGTAGAATTGCTCGTTTATGAGCACATAGCTTGCTCTGATTGAATATACATGCGTCCACTCTTTTTACAATATATATATATGTACATATACTCGATGTGCGTGCAAAAGGTGTGAAGCGTTGTGCGTGTGTTTTTATTTTTATTTGTTTGCTTTCGTCAATTGCTGAAAAACAATGCAAACGCTCCTCCTACAAGCCAGATCTGGTACACTGCCGCCAGAAGCGGACCCCGGCAGATAAATCGATATTCGAGGTGCTTTGACCATGACTGTCCGTCGAGCTATTTCTGTCCAGAAATGTATAAACGTGCATGCAGAACCGACGACGGCCACTGCCACAGCCAAAGCCAAAGCCTCAAAGACCTTACTGGAAGCGCTAGCAAAAGTGTTCTTTAACCCGGCCAGCAGAAGGCGGCAAACAGAGCCCCAACAACCTCCGATTTCCAATTCCCAATTTCCATTGCGTGTGCTTTACTCGAATCGCTTTGATTGCAAATGAAATATTTAAACGAAATATTCCAGATGCCAGCGCAAATTTTTATAAACTTTTTTCCCTCACTTGTAAAAATATTTACAAACTGTTTATATAAATATTTGCGTCAGCCTTGAAAATGAATGTTTGCCGATTTGCTTTTGTATCGATCGATATATGTTGTGTACATATGTTATACAATTACATATATGTATATATTTATTTATATATATTATGCTGTACGTAAGGTATGTTCACCTCCGTTGCCCAGTCTTGTTCCTTATATTCATTTCACAAAAATTTTCAGAAAACCTTAAGCGTAATGGCCTTATCCCTAGGGCCTCCATATTTATTCGACTGTGCATGCGAATTTCTGCTTCAAAATATTGTAATTGCAAAAACGATGCCAATTGCCGCAGAGCGCGAGAACAAAACTAAACAAACGCCCAATCCAAAACTCATTAAATGTGCAATAAAAACTTTGATAAATGCTATAATGGCAGTTGCCTTCATGAGGTTTGAATAAATTATACTCATGCTATTTAGATATACGATATGCCTTTTGGACAGAAAAGTTCCTACACTTGGAGAAAGAGGAGGCGCTTCCTTGGCCATTCCAAACTTGAAGATTTTGGGAAATCCCTTGTATAAAATGTATTAAGTTTATAGATAGTAAACAATTGCACATATTTAAAGATTAGCCATGCAGAAATATAATTCAAAAATGAAATGTGGCACACTTATCACTCTTCCTCGAAATCGTCCAAAAAGCATGTCATGTACCTCTTTAACTACTGAAATAATTCTCAGAACATACCAAATCAAATATATTTTACTCAGCTAACTAAAAATGCTTGAGTTCTTAGAATTCAATCTTATCAACTGTTGCTCGCACTGATTGATAACGCCCGCTGCTTTCTAATCAAAGCTTGAACTTCTAGGCAAGGTTATTCGAACAGGCTTATCAGACAAATGTATGTATATGTATATTTCTATATGTATATATGTAGATAAGATGTAAGTGGACTGCAGTTCAAGCAAGAAATTCATTTAATTAAAATCTTATTAAAAGCATCAAATGCAATAATGTTGTGTAATTGAAAGTATAGTTAATTCGCTTTCATTCAAAATATTTTAATTTTGAAGTTATTTTCTTGTATAGTTATTTACTTTTCTTCAAGTAATCAATCTACTTCTACATAAATTTAATTTTAATAAAAACTCCAGAAAATGTCTAATATAAACTCTAAATTTAACTACTAAATTATTGTTTACATCGTCTACTGATTTACCCCGATTGGGCGGATCTGGCAATGTTTGGGAACCTTGAATAAGTATGCTGCAGTCAGTAACCCAACGTTCTCACTGTTTTCTTTCTTTGTTATTTACAGAGTTGAGATGTATAGCGAATGCAACTGAAAAGATGATATATGGGGACTGATTGTCATATTTAGTATAGAGGACATGTAGTATATATACAACATTTATAGTATATTGTATTAAAATGCGAACCTAAGTGTGGGGCACAAACTGCGCGTTAGACTTGTTTATTTAATTTATTACTGCCAACCGCAACAGATTCGTGTAGTTGTAGTTGTTTTTCAGTTTTTGTTTGGTGTATGCTTGAAACTTGATTATAAATTTGCTTTTATTATTTGTGATTGAATTTTAAGTTGGCAGCTGAGTGCATTTCGCTCTATATATATATTTCGATTTAATCAAACATTTACTTATCACGCTCAGCGGCTAAAATATAAAACCGCGCCAACTTTTTCCGTATTATTTTTTGCTTGATGCGAAACACCGAAAGCAACGCGAATAAATTATAGAACACCGCGGCTTATAATTGGCTTAAGTTATTATTATATTTTGTGCACTGCAGTTATACACGTACACACATGAATATACCTATTATATTTGTGTGTATAGATAGCCTGTATACTCTATGGGCTGATTGTTGTTTTATAAAAGTTGTCTGGCTGTCGTGTCGCGTATAATTAACAAATCTAAACATTCAAACGCTCGCGTGTGACTTGCACAATATGCGACGACAACGACGACGACGACGACTTCGACGATCTATAAAATGAAATCAAAATACGAGTCGACTGCAAATCACATCTCACGCCGACAAACTTCCGTTTCAAACTGAGCGCTGAGTTTTGCTGGCGCTCTACAGATCGACTCACACTGGCTCTCTCGCTCACACTGATATTCGCGCTCGGCTTGAATAGTTCGGCTCGGCTTGGGTGTCTTCGGGAAATCGGCCAGGCACGAGCGCCAGTGCCAGCGCCAGCGTCTGCAGCTCGTCTACTTATCTACTTGCTCGCTCATACATACATGTACACACACACACACAGGCAGGGCCGATTCGTGTGACTGCAAATGTGTCTGGTGCCCACGCCTTTGCTGATTGCTTCCATTAAGAATTATTTGTCGTATTCTTGGTATCGTTTGCACACATACACATACGACTTGACCGGTTCGCTCGTCTCGGCACGACTCGGCTCGGCTCGGCTCGTCTGTGGGCTGGTTTGCTTGCGGCGTCTGCCGCTCTTCTAATTGCATTCTTGATATTCTACTCGGGCTTACTCTTGCACTCGGCTTAAATTAGCTAGCTTGGTTTGAGCGCTCGGCCAGTCGAGCAATTGTTCCTGCGCCTGCTGTTCGTTTCTTATCATATTCTTAATGTCGTATGTATGTATGGGTGGTACACTCTTACACAAACATGCAATCGAAATCGCGCTCAGCTTGAGACTCATGTACGTTCGTTTTAGTTTATCGTGTGCTTCTCGTCTACTTGTCGTATGCTTCACATCGTATACTTATATTAATATCGTCGCGCCGTCGACTTGCTCGACTTGCCATGATCGATCGGCGGCCATTCCATTCGTAAACTTTTGTTTTCATTTTTACCACTCGCCAGCCACATTCTTTGCCAGCATTTTGTGCACTGCTTTCTGCTGTTCTTTAGCTTTTAGTTTATTTGACGATATTGGAAACGTGCGTTCTCCACTCCATTTTTGTTTTATTTTGCTAATTAATGACGTTACAAGCAGCTCGGAGATTTATAAGTGGCTGTGCAGAGGTGTCGACACTTTTATAGCTATATCTATGTGTGTGTGTGTGTGTGTATATATGTAGATGCAGGTGTTGGCTACAAATTTGTTTAGACTGAATGTATGTACACAATTTATGATGCAGTCGGCCACTGTCGAAAATATTTTAGTGAATTTAGTTCGACAATCAAAAATTGATTATTAATTAAGACTTTCCACACATTTGATGAAGAAACTATTCCAGCATTCAATTAAAATTTGACACCTGTAAGAATTTGTTTTAGGTATTTCCCTTGCTCAGCTTCACTCACATGCCATTGACAGCTCTATTATGATCTGTTTTCCAGGAAATTTCAGTTTGTGTGTGACCGACCCAAAGCTGAACGTGAATTATCAAGCACAAAAAAATTCCATATTTATATATTCGAGTGTCTGTGTGTGCGTGTGTGTGGATGGCTAAAAGCAGACAAAACATCTAAGGTCATGTATCTGAGCAGTGGCAGCAGTTATTGACTTGATTTTGTTTGCCTTTCCATCAACGTTGATTTTCAGTCATTTAAGCAAATAGCGCAAAATGCCAAAAACTGAACACAAATGCAAAATAAAAACCACCAACAATTTTGTTTCTATTCAAATTTGTTGCAAATGGTGCAGAAAATTCTGTGCATAGACGTCGTATAGTACGTATAGTTGCACAATTTATTTTCTTCTGTTTATGTGTGGCAACTAAAAGCAAAGTTTAAACAACATCAAGTATACGCGGCGTGGGCAACGAATACGAATGCAAAAAAACATTCCGGCTGCTTTGGCCAAAATGCACGACTGGAAAATTTGGCCGCAAATTACGTAAAACGTTAAACAAAAGGCAAGATCGCAGCAAAAATAGCAACAAATCAATTGTGATTTGCAGCTCGAGTCGCATGCGGAGATCTAGAGCAACATTGTCGAAGACTTATAGCAGCTGCTGAACTGATTTGATTGCATTGTGTGACGTCACACGACCTGAGAAACGTCACAGCCGAAACAAACTTGTTTTTCCTTTGTGCTTTTGTTTTTAGCAAATGGGCAGGTCAGTCGAGGCAGAGCTAGAAATGGTAAACAATATTGAGAGAGTCGAAGCTGTAATACCCTTTCAATTTGGCTATAAGATTAGCTATAGGCGATCTTTTAGTATAGGACTCTCTTCTTCATCGTATCATGATTGCTTTTAATTCAATAATACATCTACACATATGGGTATACTTGAAGCAATACGTATACGTGATACACAAGCATACCTACCTCTACCTATTGACTCGCTCAATGATAAAATCTATATACTCTCTAATAGGGCAATCGGAGAAATCAACAAAAGACACGTAAACTCCAACGCATTTATCTGCAATTCTGGCACATGTGCCAGTCCAAGGTCATACACACACACACGCGCACGCACACACTTAAGAGTCGCTAACAAAAGCCCGACAAGCGGCAAATGGAGAGGCGGGGTCGAGGCGAAAAGCGTGAGACGTGCGACGTCATGCGAAGGGGCCGAGTAAAAAGTAGTAGCAATTGAGCTGCTAGTTGGGCAACCACTTGTAGTTGTTGTTGTTGTAATCGCTTTTGTCTCCTTTGGCTTTAAAAGCGAAGCGAAGCAAAGTAAAGGCCATTGTTTATGGCCAATGCTCACACACACACACACTTAAATAAACGCTCATATGCAGGCCACATAAAAGAGCCAAGCAAAAGGTCGGCGCTGTCGACGCCCTCAAGACAAACCATTAAAATTCAAGACACTCGCAAAACAGAGCAGAGAGAGAAAGAGACTGAGAAAGGGAGAGAATGAGGAGAGGGAGGAGAGAGTTCCAAAGTATCGATAACCTATAGAAAAAAAAGCACACAAGATGAGCAAATTACAAATGAAAATGAACTCAAACGTTGGACAACTGACACTGCTAAGCAATCAAGTCAGACATGGACGACTGAGCAATACTCTATTAGGTATAATTAAATGCTACAGTGGAAATATATTAAAATCGGAGAGTTTTGCACGAGCCACGAAAAGAAACCGAAATTAAATTCATATTAATTTTCATTTTCATATTCATATCAGACAACAGTGGCAACACAGGCTTCCTCCTTAAGCTCTTGAATACCCAAACTACAAACAAAAACTTGCTTTTCAACAATCAACGCTCGATGAAACAAGCTTTTTTTTTTTTTTTTTTTTTTTTTTTTTGACTAGCCATATTAACGTATGAATAGAAAGAAGAAGAATAAAACAAAACCTGATGCTTTGACGTTGCTTTGGCTTGCAGCACTTGATTGGGCTCGGTTTCGGATTCCCCGAATTGTGTATGAATCATCGGCGAAAGACGCAATTGCTCCACATGAAGCTCACAGATAAACGAGATATAGTTAGTGAGCATGAGAGAGAGAGAGAGAGTGAGAGAGGGAGAGCGCCCATGCGGAAACCAACGATGCTCTCGGCACAGCCGCTCAGCTCACTTCAGCGTGATCACGGCGTTGCCTTTCCAGTTGTGCATAATTTTCCAGTCAACCAATCACTTTTTTCTCTTCTCTTTTTTTTCGTATTAACTAACCGAGCCGACAATGGTTACATCACAATCGCCTCAACTGGAAAGGCAACTGCAACTGGCTGTGGTCGCTTGCTATGGGGCAGTTGGAACGTGTGTGTGTGTGTGTGTGTGTGTGTGTGTGTGTGTGTGTGTGTGTGTGTGTGTGTGTGTGTGTGTGTGTGTGTGTGTGTGTGTTTCCGCATGCAATGGAAGTGGCGGCGACCGTGTTGCCCTCATCAAGGTTGTCCGGATCTGGATCGATGTGTATTCGATATACAATTTCACAATTTATTAGAAAACCAACAACAACAGCAACAACAACAACAACAACAAATAACCAAAGGTAAGACAAACACAGAGAAAGACACATCAGACTTTGTCCAAGTAAATTTGTATATTGTTTTTGCCAACGAACGCTTGTTGAAATAGCAAATCAACAACAACAACAACAGTCAACAATAGTAACCGCAACGACCCGTCTTTATGGGCACACATACATATGTACACACATAGCCACAAGCATGTGTGTATGTGTAAATATTAGAGACTCGCCTCGTATACGAATATTGCTGACTATTAATTAATTAATGCGCCAGCGATTTGTGAGTGCCATCGCCATCGGACAGTAGTAGAGTAGAAGGGAGAGAGAGAAAAGAAGAGAGGTGAGCACAGGTTAGCTGCTGTTGACTGAACTATAAAACTGGATACGTGCAAAGGTTGCAGCTAAACTGCAGCATTCCAATTCCAGCATTACAATTGCGACTGCATTTTCATTTAATGCATCAAACGATTTGTAAAACTTAACATTTAGAGGGGATTAAGATTATATTTTACATAGGAGTACAGAGCTACATTACATATAGTATTCTGATATAACTATATATCGCTAGTTATAATCGCATTAAATTAATTTATAAGTATGAATTATTATTATTTACAGCTTCAAGTGAAACTGAGCTGCAGAAGCGAATAGTTTTGGCAGCCAATTTGTTTGTAGTCTTAATAAACTTAATTTTGTATGCTCAATCAAACAAATAGAATGTACATAAAATATGTATTTAAAAAATAATAATCACACTATTGTCATGAAGACAAACTTGAAAATGTTTTTTTCTTTTTTTTCAAAGTTAAGTGAAGGTTTTCAGAAGTCCTAAAATATATTGAGCACGGTATGTCACCCCAAAAGTAGAATTAAATAACTAAGTGGAACTGTAATTTGGCATAATATCAAATCAGACTTTCTTTGATTCGCGTTTCGTCCCAATCAATGTGTCAAACACCTGTTCTGTTGCCATTACAGGTATTAAAAAAAACCGTGAGTATATATTCATAGAACTCTTGACCCACGACTGATACGTAACTGCTTCAGCAAAATTATATAATTTATTTCATATATATGAAATGCTTGAGTTGAGATGACGTAAAAACTAAATCTGAATCTGACGTCTTGGCTAAGCATTTCGTTTGATTACTTTTTCCCCAGACGCAAGAGTCGAGAGCAACAGGTAGAGGTTGACTTCGAGTAGCAGCCTAACAGGTGA